GATTATCTGAATTGGAATATTGTCAGATTCTGAGAAAAATAATTGCATGAAATATAAAAATGGTGGATATTATTTCACTTCAAATAAGGACACCTCCACCAAATATAGTGAGACTTTTGATAAGCAAATGAGTTTTTTTACTTTCCCGTGTCATTACAAATATCACTGTCATGTTCCCAGGAATATTGTAAGGGAAATTGATAGGAAGAAATGACATCTGCTGTAAATGCGCTGTTGTTTGCAAATGGTCGCTGACATCTTATTAAGAGTGAGAGAGCTACAAGACTTATTTTTTGCCCCAAGACAGTGTTTTATTCCTCATCGCCATCATGTTCACTGTTCCAAATACTATGGTCTCCATGATCCCTTGAAAATTGGAAGCAATGATGGAAGGAATTTGAACTTTATTTGGAGGCAAAAATAAGTCTTGTGGCTCTCTCAAAACTTTTCAGCTGCCATTTGTAAATATAAATTTAACAAGCACATAAAATAAGCATGCCTACCGAAAGACTGTTTGGTACACTCGTCTAGTTCTGCCCGCAATGCAGCCATTTCTTTGTTTTCCTTTAGAATCTTCTGAGACAAGTTAAATTGCTTTTCTGCCATCTCTATAATTACTTTTTGTTCACTTTCATCAAAGTCTTCACACTCGTCTGCAGGCAGCAGTGCTTCTTCCAACATGCAGGAATCTAATACACTTAAAATTAATTAAAGACATAATAATAACTCCATTATTAAAGAGGGGTATGATTAAACAATTCTTGATATTAGCACAAAGCACATAAAAAGTAGAGATATTCAAACTTGTTTTTGTGAAAACGATAATTTTGTAAAACCATTCTGAATTAAAAATCGGTGGAATTGCATTACAATTGAGCTTTTTTTTTCAGAATTTTGAATTGTCGATTATGGGAAATAATTCACCGAAATCTCAAGAAATTCTTGTGAGAAAGTTTGCTAGTCATACCCTCTGAGCGCCCTAATATATTTCACACAAATTTCGAAACAACATATTTTGCACATTTTCCTTTAACTTTCTATAACTAATATTGGACCAAATTGGTATAATTTCCAGTAATTTCTTAATAATAATTTTGAAAAAAAAATATTTTTTTTTTTTTTCAGCAAGGATTTGGGGAATTTGTATTCCTGACAAGTTAATACAAATACTTCGATGTACCATGTACAAAAAGGACACTATCAGCCTATATCAATGTCTGAACAAACAACTTTGTCTTATCCCTAGGGCAGGGGATTTTATTTCTCAACCACCCCTTTTTGGGGATTTCAGTATTTTGACACAGGCACAGTTCGCTAATATCCTCATGAAAATTGGCATTTTATGATAAAGTCAGTTCTATGATTCGTAAAAACAAGTGATATTTCAGTGCATGTATCTCTACATAACTAGAGAGTAAGGAGCTGAAACATCACATTGTTGATGCAAATTACCTGTGGATGTGAATTTAACAGATAATTTATACATTTTTAAAAGATCTTTCAAACTCAAATTGCAGTTGAAAATTATTTGACTGACCATTTGTCATTACTAATGTTGGGTATCTGGAGGCAGATAATTGAACACACTCTTAAACTGTCCATCACTACAACTATGGACACAATAGCATTTATATTGTTGGAGCGTAGCAAGTTGGGAGTCTGCACTCACAAGCAGGGATGCACAAAGTACCACATATCAGACTTTTATATTATACATGTCTGAAATTTGCTTATCTTTTATCATTATCACTGTTTTGTACTCAGTGCACACTAACATCATTAATGCAAAAAATGTCTGTTGTTGTATCAGAGACGAGTCTTTGTTGAATGTGAAATATGAAGCTTCAGGGCAGGAAAACAGTGAATTAGAGTCTACCCATTGAATTTGAATCTACATTCAAATATGAATATGAAGCTTCAGGGCAGGAAAACAGTGAATTATAGTCTACCCATTGAATTTGAATCTACATTCAAATATGAATATGAAACTTCAGGGCAGATAGTCTACCCATTGAATTTGAATCTACATATTTAAAATTCACATAAAACATTCATGAGTTTTTAACTTACGATTGTAATTGGAATTCCTCAGCAGCATGATTTTCTGACACTTTCAATGAATGAGTTTGAAGACTAGCAATCCTGAAAAACAAAACCAATGTCAATGTTGTTATACATTTCCTCGTTGGACGTGTTTGTATCATGTGATACTTTCCTGATTTGGTAATCTCTAATTCAATCTCTATACTACATACTATGCAGTTATTTTCTTATTCTTATTCTTGTTACTAACTTACTTCTCACCCAGTTCATCCAAGTCATCTGTTGATGACACACTACGCTTATACTCGCATAGTACTTCATGTGCGGCTTTTTGATGTTCAAGCCATTCTTTATACCTAAAAACAAAATAACATAAATTGAATATAATAACAATAGTGTCAATGTTCTCCCCAAAGTGTTTTAGCGTAGTGGGGCCGCTACTCTATTATTTATGCCGCTACTCTGAGAGATTGCCCACTACTCTGAGAGATCGCCCGCTACTCTGAGAGATTGCCCACTACTCTGAGAGATTGCCCGCTACTCTGAGAGATCGCCAGCTACTCTGAGAGATTGCCCGCTACTTTGAGAGATTGCCCGCTACTCTATGGCATTTCCTGTTACTCTTTGTTTTAGCTTATAAATACACATGCGAATCTGTTAGTCAGCGTCATCAGCGTCCGGTACTGTGAGCCAAATCAGGTGTGAATGGAAACAGTGATTACGCAAAGACAATGGACTAATACAGCTTCGTACTTCAACAATAAACACTTTCGCCATATTTAATGGAGGTAATCGTGAGCATTTTCTCAGTAGCATATTCGGCTTGAAGCAGCAACGATGTCAAGCAGCAGAAATATTACGTTGTGGTTCTGCGTAGAACACCCTGCTGGGCCCCCTGGTTCCGATCGATAAACCCACCAGCAACACGGTTGCCGGTACCCCTGTAGGTCGTGGTACTAAACGTGTCTAAGATGACGTTACAACATAAGGTGCAAAAAGAAGAAAATCTGGATTTGATGCACAATAAAATATACTAAGTGAAACATCCGATGGCAAAGGTAAAAAAGTATTTATTTGTAGCGTAATTTTGACCTAGTTTAGTAAACTTTTGTATGGCTTCATTTTTTTACGATCGTCGAAACATTTTTTTTGGAAACTCATTTTTTTCTGGAAGTTCAAAAATTGTTGACTACGATTTATCAAAATAACTAATACTAGTATTGTGTTTTGAAATAGGTAAATTTTATCGTGGCAATTTTTTAGACTTTAATAAAGTTTAGCCACTTTTCAAAATGGCGGCAATTTGTTTATTTTCATGTTGATCGTGACGATATTTAATTTTTTAAATACAAGTATTGATTCGCCCCTATTTCTTATCTTTTAGGAATGCTGTGTCACATACATGGAAAATTCAACTTAAAATCATCCAGAAATAGTTCTTTGGTGTGGAACTCTATGCCATGTATAAATATTACGAAATATGCTATCAATAAACACGCACACTTAGAGATGCACAAGAAGGCCATGTCATTAGAAGTGGGAAGCAAAGAAAATCACGGCGTTCTCAAAAGCAGACCACTGGGCTTCCATGAAAGTCAGAAGAATCATCATTACATAAAATGCACCACAGCAGCAGATTTTATGTCATCTTTTACATAAATTCGTTAAAAAATAAAGACACAATTTTATCCATGCAAGTCTGTCCTTATTGTTTTATTTATCTCCAGACATATGCTAATGAGTATGTAAATTATATGCAAATTAGCCGCCACTCTGAGACATTTTTCTGGGGAGAACACTGAGTGTATTGAGTGCAGTTCACAAAGGAAAACAAATGAATGAAACAAACAATTATTGAAGGGGCATACGTTAGCTGTATATTTTGCTAATTTGTCTTATTTTTCAATCAATGTTCAGAGTTATAATAAAAAACAGCAGTTACTATTATGTAGCCATAGACTTATAGTCTGATTTTCGTTGATTATTTATGCTTATTTTGTTATTGACAGGGACTTTTCAATGAAAATTGGACAGGTTTGTAAAGATTTTGCCTGATAAATTTGTTAACTTTCTAAAATGTGGAGTGCCAGACAAAAAGTCTGTCACTGTTATATTTATTTAAAATTGCCTTTAGTGGTACTAAATGGCAAATACAAATGTCACCCAGTGGAAAAATTTAATTTTGCCTCGGAAAAGTACACATACATGTATTAGTACAATACCTCACACACATTCATCTTAAACCACAAAGATAACTACTATTACGAAATATTATAAAAGTATTTAAAAAATGCAGCTGATAATAAATGTGTCTGAATTACAGAAAAATCAAATACATCAAATGTGACCAATAAATATATGTAATAACTTCATACTTTGAATTATGACACAGTATAAAATTGATTTGTGTATTTGTTTAGATTTATTATTGTTTTTAAATAAACAAAAAAGACTAAAATGGCTAAATTACAAAAAAAAAGCAGTGCTTGTGAAAAAAAAATGACCTATGATCCTTGCAAAGTTTGAATTGCTAATATGTTCAATTTGAATATTATTCGATAAGGTGGATGGAACACAGTGTGTGCATGATCCACTACACTCCAATATCTCTGTGTGTCCAGCAAAGTCTGAATCTATGTATTCTAATTTTTTGAACCACAACTAAATGATACAGCCATCCGGGTCTAGAAAAGTTGAACAATAAAAGTGGCAAATGGAAAATATAATAATGCAGCGGCCAACATTTTCATTTTGACTAACTTTAATTATATTAGTTTCTGATTGGTTAGACTGGTTATTCTAGCAATAGATCTAGTTAAGTTAATGTCACTGGTTAGAAACCTAAAAGAAGTGTAAATAACTTGAAAATGATATTTACTGTATACTGGATCAATATAATTTGGATGAAGTATTAGTATAAACACAATTACATGTACCGGTACCTCTTTTTCTTTAATAATAATTTATGGACATTGAGATCTGCCTCAGCTGTATCATCCTCATTGGTCTCATTTTCAAGTACATTGTGTGATGTATTCATACTTGTATTGAAAGCTGAAAATAAAAACAAAAAAAATGCAAGTAAAATATCCTGAAACAGTTCCTACCACCAGAAACAAATTGTAGAACTTTCATCCATCTTTTTAAAAGGTGTATTCAACCAATATTATTGTACGGGTCTGAAATCTGGGGCCATGAAATTCAAGATTACAACAAATGGGACAAAACAATAACAGAAAAAACACAATTGAATTTTTACAAACAACTACTAGGACTGAACAAATTTGTGGCAAACATTGCATGCAGAGCCGAAGTAGGAGAATTCCCACTCTTAGTAGATATTCAGATCAATTTAATAAAATACTGGACTCGTATCAGTAAATTACCAGACAATAATATCACAAAACAAGCATACCTTGAACAAAAGAAATCCAATTTACAATGGTACTCTTCATACAAAAAATGATGA